ATTATCAAGGTCTAGATCTAAGATTTTGACTAGGTGTTTGAACCATTGTCTGGATGTCGAATCACCGACGAATATTGTACTTCGAGACGCCAAACAGCTGATGTATGTCTTCTTAAGTTTAGCAATGTTGTTTGAGCATTGTGTAGAGTGCCATAATCCCATATGTCTATATCCAACAGGAACACTTGCAGTCCATGTGTATTGCTTCTCTAATAAATGGCATGGCAAGGTGACCGGTCTAACGGCATGCTGCCCTGTAATATAATATGTTTGTTTATAGCTACAGTTTCTATTCAAAGCTTCATTAGAATTCGATTCCACCTGAATACGGACAATATTTTACCTATCATACTGTGGTAGTGGTATACTAATTGTACTGTAAATGTTATTGACTACTTACTTGCGTTGACTTGTAATTGCACTTCGTCGATTAGTTGGTGAGAGAACGCCCTGCAATTAAAAGCAATGTTTATATATTAATGAAATTAAAATACAATTTATGATTTCATATTAACTTCACTTATGTTGTATATCTTATGTACATTAACATATGTTGTTCATGTACGATGCTCCTTTGTACCATCAGAACCGGTGATAGGGTACCTGAAGTGTTTAGCGTTATAACAGGAATTATTAACAATCGTTGGATAATATGTACTTAAGAATTTAGGATGTATTCATGACAATATAATTACATATATGAATAAAAATTAACCAGCAATATTAAAAAAAAAGACGAAACAAAAAATTGAGTGAAATACTTGTCATACGGTTATAAATAAGTGTACAACATTAAGATAGCTTACTGCATGACATAAATCTCCCTACGACTTAGATACATGACGTCATCCCAACCATATTGCTTCCAGTCTTTACAGTCGTAATACTTTGGCTGTCCACAGTAGTATGAAATATTGTAGTTTTTCTCCGTAAAATTACAGTAGCCTCTATATCGTTGTCCGACTTGCCAGGGCGTGGAGCTACACTGGGTTGATTCTGTTACTTTGGGATGAACCGAATAGAAGGTAGCGTTTGTATACTTGTACGCGCCATATTTAAGGAAATACTGGGCATACAACGCCACTTGTTCCTTTGTATGGCCAACAGACACTTTCAAAGTTGCCCGACCTTTCCATGCAGCTTTAACAATCCCCGTGTATGTTCCGTTCATATGATCTATGACGTATCCGGCCACACTCGAGTGACTGTGGTCATCATTCATCCATATACGTAGAAAGTCGCCACCGGTCATCATCCGATTTTCTAAGCCATTTCGTAGGACAATGTGAACCGTTATGTTATCATCAACGTATATTTCAGAATTAATTATCTTGATATGAGAATTGGAAGCGTTAACGATTTCATACAAATTATCCAAATTAACTTTTAAAGACGCATATTCGGAAAATCTAGATATGATATTTCTTGCCACGGACGCTGCGGGCAGGACAACTGGAGAAAACCTATTTATATTCTTGTCTCTTGCAACCGATTTCGTTTTTACAGGTTGTTGTTCCTCAAAAGATTTAAGGAAGTTACTGGCCATATGTATAAACCTGTAAAATAATAATGATAATAAGATAGATAAATAAATAAATTAGTAGGAAGAACATTACAAGTTTGAATATATCTACAACAGTATACATTACAAGAGCTAACCTAATGTTTATCATCGAAACGGATCCAGGGTAAAGGGAGACAACTGTTACTTTAATGGAAGAGGATACATGAACTAGTCTTACTTGCTGTGGTGGTATGAAATGGTCTGCCATCCGACGGATTCCTTGATTCTGTATACATTGCCCGGCATATTCTCACTGATACTATGGAATAGTGCATTGTGTTACCAATTTTTTCATAATATTTTAAACTACGTTGCAGATGGTATGAATTAACTGTGTATTTCCAAAATGTAAAACAGACTGACTATGTTTTCTGTATTAAAATTTAACTTACAAGCAGATACTATATATATATATACATAGAATAAAAACCATAGTGTTAAACTGCTACTGCTTTCTTATTTGGTATAGTAGACATTTAAATGAAATTTATGGAAAATATTGAATTAGAGTCAGCTTAAGAAGTATCTATAGAATATATTTTCAGAAAGCACTCATTTATAATCTTAATGTAATAACTCGTGAAAGACAATTAGAAATAAGAAGCATTTTAATAGAAATCTGTACTTACCTCACAAGAGTAGCAAATGTAGTAGTGAAGAAGGTTACGAATAGTGCCAAACACATGTTCTTCCCTGACATACATTTGGTTATCTGAGAGTTGTTTAATGAGTTTGATTTGCCTCTAGTTTTATGAATTCTTTTTCGTGGTTTCATGATGCTGAAAATACATTTAACATGAAAATCGTGTGTAGAAAGCTTAATGAAATCGTATAAAAAACATACAAGTGAATTACACTTAGCCTTAGAACAAAATAATGAATTATGTTTAGATCTTAAAGAACTTGTAAACCTTGAAACCTTAGAGTCGACTCAGAAACCCAGAATAGAATCGAAGTAATTCCTACTGCAGATTGAGAGATTCACTTAAAAATGATTTTAACTATTTCGCAATTTTTCTGTATCTGATTATTTCAAAGAACATCAATTACGTGTGTATACTTTGAACCTTGTCACTACTCGGATGATTAAACGAAGAAGGCAGATTACAGTAAATTAAGGTCCACTGGGAAAAAATGTCTACGAAATGAATCCCCGATATAAACAAAATATTTTCGTTTGTTTACATTACTTTAAATGTATTTATCATGTTATAGTGTACATTCCATGATGTGGTTTAAAGATTAGCGAATTCAAAGAATGTTTTGCAGTAGATTATGTAAATAACACATAAACTGACATCTACTTTTATTTCTCTCTATAGAAATATATACTGATTCATGTTTCAAAAACGTGTCCTTATTCCCGACCTTGACATTGCTGGATGATTTCGTCAAAGGACTATTTATTACCAAACTAACCCCATAATTGTCCTCCACACCACATTTAATGAGGCTAAACAAACAGCATTTTTCAAAAGAAAGCAATTGTCAAAATATCGTATATGTTGTATTTATTTCCGACATTTGGTAAATAAAGTGGTAACAGATCAAATTAAAACTAGTTCAGGTTGATTTAAATGTTTTACTATGCTTACAAGTTAAAATGAAGCAGTGATATTGAAACAATAGGTTTGTCAATATTAATGCCAATTGTTTTAATGTTATCAATGTCAGCAAAACGAAAATTCAAAGATTCATACTCACGTAATTGTGTAAACATATCCTTTCAGGTTCAAAGATCAGTCTAGGAAAAGGATTCACTGTGCTTATTTTAGTACCACAATAGAAAACATGTGGGCAACGTTTTATATTTATGCTCCTCTGAAAGAGCTATACAGTCTTTACATACAACTATCACATGCTTTATATTTTACCGGAGCACCTCAGATTAGGTTTAAAACAAAAACCGTTATCTGTGAACCATCTACCAGTCAGTGCTACGCGTAATTATAACGTTAATTGACTGACAATACTTAACTACACGCCTGGTGGAACACACCACATGCTTTGACCGCATTTTGTCGGATTAAAATACAATGTACAAAATATAACCTTTAAAGGCGACAATGAAGTATATTTCTTCTACTTTGTATTGATCTAAATCAATTTTCCAAATAACATAGATAATATAAAAATGTGGAATGTGAAAGAACATCATCTAGGCCCGAGTTAACTAAGACGATTTTCTCGATTATTATTACAAGCTAATCGGTTATAAGTATTTATATACTGATATATTTAATGTATAAAGGTATCCGTGTTTTGCTAGCTGGGATATCCAATGATGTACGTTGTATCAGATACAGATCGACTGTTTGCTCACAATACATCAGTAATTAAAACATAAATAAATCTGTTTGTGGCCTGCTATGCAAGGAAATGTAACCATTAAGTTTCTGGTGTTTTCAAGTAATGAACAACATTCCCTTGTAATATACTACATTACACTACTTAAATCCATTAAATACATTTTTCTTCACTTGGGTAATTGTGAATCTTGTTTGACGTTATGTGAGACACTGAGACCTGCGTTGGGTTACATATTACTCTCATTTCTACCTGTGTAATACTGGTCTGTCCGGGACAATAAAAGCATGATCGCTGTTCTTGTATCGCATACCCAGTATAACGAGTTATTAGCGATGACTATTTATATTCTGTTTTATTTTTCTAGTGCCATGTGCTATGTTTGCCAAAGCTAAGTACGGAAAATACATTTTTCTATGTCAACTATTCGATTTATTGCATCATAAAAAGTATGATATTCGTGTATTTACGGCGTCCTTGGTAGTACTATTATTTTTCAATATTTCAGAATGAGAAATAAAAGAAAAATGCTTTTTCATATGTCTGGATGGAGGATGGGATATTTCACTCTTGAGGTTATAAAATGTGGTAAGAATATGATATAACTATGAAGTCCCTGCGCCATGTCACATGTGTATTGTACAGCCGTGAAATCCTTGTTTCGTTGGCGTGTTATGAAGCACTGAAATCTACATGTGATCACATTTGAATTGAATAATCATATTATTGTTTGTAGACGTAATATGACTCGCTGAGGCATAATTATATCACCAGTATGCTTCTAAGTCATCTTAATTCACGAATTCATAACACAGCCATGTATTTGGTATGATGTAAAATATAATTGCACACCAATGTTGATAAATAAGTCCTGAACGTAGGCACTGCACTAGTGAGCAATGAAAATTAAGATTACCTATATTAACATCAAAGAATCCAAATTGTTGTGTGTTGATATTTTGTGATTATAATCAATGTTCCATCAGAATTATGCAAAATACAAGGAAATGCGGAAATTAAGCACATCATCATTTTGATATTCACGATATCATCCATTTTCACACCTATTTCTTTCTCGTCAGCTTGTGTTGTCGATGAAATCCCTGGTAGTGTTTGTAGTTATAACACTTCAGTTAATATACACATCAGTAGAATTCAAGTATTGTCCCAGGACATTATAGCAGTATTCGTATTGTTTCTGAAGTATAAAAAAAATATAAAACTGTAAAGATAGGAATCGTCAGAACAAAAAACATCATAGCAAACGTATGGTCTCTGCAGTTGATAAAAATGAAGTTAAGTGGTGGAATAATTTCAACTACTTGTACGTCCTTAATTAATAACCGATTGCTTATGCTAAATATACCCAATTTATACATAGTATATTTCATGAATGGTACATGCACATGTGAATTGATGAGAATAGAAATCACGAAGTTTTTGGCGACAAACATCACAATGATTTAAGAGTAAACATGGTTACCATGTCAATTAAGGCTTCTGGGCGCCGTTGTTTCAACTGTCGTGCCGTCTGAAATACATCCACCCCATCATCCATCTTCATCTGATCACGGACGTTTGATATACAACAAAACAAACCACTTTGCGTGCAGCCATTCCTGTAGAATTATGGAGGAAATACACTACTTGTAATATTTAGTCATAGAACAGTTTTCGATTTGTTGTATTATATCATCATCTGAACATGTTAAGGTTAATACATTTACACGTTAACATTCTATAACTGCAGTGTAGGATAAAACCAATGTCATTCTTTACTAGCCGTCTAAATAAAACAAGTAAAAATGTGAAAACATGTGAATAGAGTAATACTCCAAACTCTTATTCCATAAAACTAGGGAAAATATGCAACGAAAAAGATTCATACGGTGATTCATGGAAAAGTATGAGAAGAATTAGACCAGGTATTCAGGAAGAGTACCCGTCTTCTGCTTTACCCTCAATGTAAATTATGTCACTGCAAGTTAGACATGTCACGTTCTCATACGAACACAGGGTATATAAAACAGTAAGAATTTACGAGCATCATCCAGTATGTGATGGCTTGCTGACCAACACGTGTAGCTAGAATAACACAAGTTTAATGGTTAAATAAAACAACAACAAACTATCCGAAATAACAGCATCGTTATACTAACCAATTAGATACGTTCAAATAGGACAACACGCGTGTAATGCTTTCACTAACCGGCACATAACGACCACAGGTTTTGTATTATCTGACCGACGCCTGCTGTCCAGCTGTTCCAGGAGTAATAGTAAAGGTGAGCTGGAGGAAGGCAGCAAAGAATCGGACGACCACTGATTCATGAAGAAAATCTGGACTGTTTTCTGACGTGTAGACAACTGTTAAGGTAGAATATATTAGACACACTAGAAAAAGACTAACAACAGACCATACACATCACATCGGAATTAAATTATTGGGAAGATTTTGAAAAAAGACTCCAGAGTGAAAAAAAACTTTTGATACTAATTTAGTTTGAAACAGTAGAGGCAAACAATAAACTTAACTGCATCATATAGCTGTTTCGTCCTTTTAGGACTCGTCTGTGAAGTTAAGGCAGCAATGAGAAAATTTCGATGTGGTCAAAAGAAACGTCAAAATCTAGAAGAGGAGATGCATCACCTCATTATTTAAACTGAATAGATGGCCGCTGTGGCTTTATCAGCTTGTCATAAGAAAATATCTATTCGCTAAACAAAGTATCTATCCTGTAATAACCTTGTTTGCTACTTGATAATCAGCAATGACAATGTCATAGTTTGTGGACCGTTCTTTCAGCTTTTGTACCACAAATCCTCCGACTGACAATTGCTTGTCAGGAAGCCATTGATCCTAATGTAAACAATAAAGTACATTTATAGGAAATAGACAGCAAAAATATACTAATAGAATTCTGCGAACAGTTATATTTATATGAAGTCATAATTGGTAACAAATTGGAAGATATATCTTCTATCGACATTACGAATTTTCGAAACCAATATAGGAAATATCAGCTTTTTCCGATTTACTCCAACTTACAGTCAGCAATTCAACTTACTTTATTTTGGTTAGGTTTTGCTTCGTTTTTTATTTTCTTATTATTCATATTTTGCTTACTTCTTTGAAGTGTTTTGTAGTATGTATAGGATTTCAGTGTGTTTTCTGAGGAAGACAAATATATTTGATAACTGCGCAATTAAGATGCAACTTTTTAATGGATGTGTCCACTATTTTGTTCTTATGCGAAGATATACATTCAAGAGATGGTCAATGATTCCGTTCCATCGATGAACTTTCTACTTACGTCTGGCAGTGTGCCTATAACGACGATATTATCACAACTGTAATCAAATACCATCGTCCAGAAATCATCCACCGTGTCCTTCAAAGGAAACTGCGTCATCAGGTAGCCGAATCTTGACGTGTGGGACTGATATGAAGAAAGTATCGGGCTCTTAATGTATACTATTATATACTTAATTATGACGGAAATTCTATTCTGGAATGTTATAAGGCAAACCCTATGGATAAAGGTGTAGACATTATTTGTTTACGAGGCATTAATAATTTTGATTATCCATGACAAATGAAATCTTGATAATTACCTGTATTATGACGGCATTGATGTAATCTGCTCTATTTGGTTGTTGTGATTGCAGAAATGCTCTAAATTTGTCCACTTAAACAAAAAGAAATAAAATGAAAATCTCGAAATATAAAAAACTAGTTGTGTATATGAATTAAAAATTATGTCTTTTTACTAGATAAAAAAAATATGTATTTTGATAATGAACCCGGAACTATTAAATACTTATCTAATGTTATGCCCGAATAAAACTTTGAACTCCACATAGTGAAACATTTAGACTAGAAACATATGTAAATATCAACATTAACATATGATTAGTAGATTTACACATCACCAAGATTCTGTAATACCAGCAAGGATATCAAAATCCCTGTTCTTATCTTCATTTTCTCTCAACAATGCAGACGTGAAGCTGCTAGAGGTGTAGTTTGGATTAAAGTTTTGCAGTTTCTGTAACAGTAAAGGAACATTTTCCACTAAAGTCAGGTTATCTGTGTGATTGTTTGAAGTGTCATAGTATGTCTAATGTAAATTAATCCAAACCGTCACAGCTTATTTCGTTGGTTATGGTGAATCTGAATTATCTGAAAATATTTCTTTCTTTTTTTAAGTAAGTTTGCACCTTGTTAAATTAGATATAAACCTATTATATGACTAATGCAATTACGTGATTAATTGAACCCTTTTTGAAATAGAAATACATCCTTGGCATTAACTTTAGCTGAGACACGATTTATGGTTTTGGAAACTTCACATTTCAAAATATATCATGTGATATGCATTAGACGATATGGTTTATGTTGGCAGAACAGGAAGTTAGTATGTGGTTGTACCTCAAATTCTTTGTTAAGTTTGGTAAAATTAGCTGGTCTGCTATCCGAGGTTAAACTTTCCAGAACAGCACGGAATTTCCATCGAGAAATGTACGTGTCTTGCAAGTTGAATCCTTCCACAAGAATCTCATGTAAGGCAATGTATTGTTCCTAAAATAAACGGAATCGCACTGATTTTAGGATTATCATATCTCTAGTGTATGCACATTTATGACATTTTAAATGTGAAATTAACAAAAAAAAAAAAAAAAAAAAAAAAATTGAAGTGAGTTTCAATTTCATATTCATATTTTCTATATAAACTAAAAATAAAATCAAAACTAAGAGACTTTTTTTTCATATAAGAAAACCTCATATGAATTTAAAGCAAATCAAATGTAATTTTATCTGACTCTGAAAAGTTGTTTTAACATGTTTTGAGGATAAAATTTGAAGAAAAAAAATGGAGGCAGCCAATTTTGTCATGCCAATTTTCAATTTATTACCTTAAGCAATTGTCCATGTTTTGACATCACAGTTATTTTCTATTTGGTGCAAACAATGAAATCACATATGTACTAACATTATATGGACGATCTCACTGGATAACAGGCCAATTAAGTGATAATGCCATATAATGTTATTATTGTAATTAACCATTTTGACATTAAACTACTCTTATGTTGATTCACCTTCAGCTCTTAAAGGGACACGTGTGCATACATAAACTATCTGGCAGTACCCGATGACAAATATTTACTAAACATAAATTCCATTGCAGTTCGTGTGTGATAAAGAAATTAATGATAAATAAAATTATGTTGATATGCTGCTATTGTCTTTCTTTTTATCAACATGAGAAATATTGGATAGAAAGTTTAAAAAAAGCAGTCTGTGCGCACTCCATTACCAAACATTTTCAAATCACGTTTTTTTTTTTTCAAAGTTTTTTTTACATACTAACAACGTCAAACTTTTCCCAAGTGCATTGCGGTACCTTTCAAAAATATACATACGAATGTATAGAGTGCTTTAACTGTTTTACTGGCACAGTCGTTGCATCACACACCCAAACTATTTCTGAATTATAACGTATTTTTCCAATTCAGTCCCGTGTTATTCTGAATGCTGAATAATACACCTCATTCCATCGTTAATATGAAAGAATCACCATTCAGTATATTGGAAACACACAACATATTTGGTATCGGAGATTACTTTTTACATCCCTTACAGACATGTTAATGATTCAGAAATCAAAACAGTAATGAGATATACTTTTACAGGTCATGTTCCTGCTTAATGGTGTAAATGTCATCATAGAATGGTAATAGAAGTTAGTAATCCGAATCAGATCCAAGTAAGATGATACAAGGTTACAATGGATTGCATTTATACTTACATAAGTCTGGATCATATTCATTCTATCCTTTCTCATGATTCTGATATAACTCGGAATATCGACATGCCCAGTATCCCTGCCAGAAGCGAGAAGTGCGTCCAATGCAATAAAAGTTCCAGTTCTGCCGATACCAGCACTTCAATGGACATCAAATAGGTAAGTTTGTATTAGGTTCATTACCTGTTACAAAACAACTTCCTTGATATTAGACCAATACCTAGCTTTTTAGATAAACATAATCATTCTAATGGTACAGTTAGACAAGAGTGACATGTTGATCAGATCTTCGGTAACCACAATGGCTACAGATGAGAAGTTTGTTGACACACAGGACAAAATCTTATACATCCCTCTTTAAAGAAAAGTTGTCTATATAGATCATATCCATATTGCGATACGTTAATGCTGTACTAAGCCCATTTTAACAATGTGCAATCAACTGAAACTGAAAACAAATGCCCGATTTTGATACCTCTTGTAAGGTACAGACAGATAGTCATATTGATAACGGCATACCTGCAGTGAACGACCATCTGCCCCGGTAGCTGTGCTTCATATAAAGTCACACGACGATGGAACAGCACGAGTTCCAGTGTGTCCGGAGTCCCATGGTCCGGCCAGGTGGTAAAATGGAACTGGTGAACCTGACGTTCCTCTTTGGTCTGGAAAATGTGATTTACTGTATTTCGTTAGCAATGAATACGATGTTTATTATGCTTTGAGAACGCTAGATACAATGCACATGCGAACTACCGCGCGATATCTTTTCCTTTACATAATATAAGCACGATTTTTATGATAGTTTATGAAAGTTTATGGAAGAGCTAAAGCGTCATTCCCGAATACCTTCCTGTTGACGATGGAGATATCACGGAGGACATAAAATGCGTATATCCTCTCCCTATCCAGTTTCAGCTCAAAGGTGTCTGTGTTGAGTTGTTCGCCTTCTTCTGGCCAATACTGATGACATTTTATCTAGGATTGCAGTATGATCGATGATGTATTACATGTAGTTTGACCAAGGAATAAGATAAAATATAAAATTAATTTTCCTCTACAAACTAACGCGGTTTGCAAACATTGCATCCAATTATTACACTTATAGATGTAGTGTCAAGCTTATTGATGCTAGATAATGTATACATGTATTCTGCCTGGACTTCACAAGAAACATTATCGCTTTTCATCGGTGTCTGGTTTGTGGATGTTTGATATTCTAGCAAAATTTACTCTACATGATACATTGAATTTTTATTAGATTGTTCACTGTGCTGATGATACTTCCTATGAAGTGACGGAAATCAGATAGGTTCATAGCAAAATCTGTGAAATAAGACTTCTAAGTGAGAGAGATTTAAAGGGAAAAGAGTGTATTTAAATTTCCATTTTAACTTCCTGATAATTTTGAATTTACTGATCTGTTCAGTGTAGTATTGATATATCAGATGTTATATATTATACAATACTCGACATGAGTAGTTGTACCTTAGTTCCCTCTATCAGATTCGTCAGCATAACAATCTTCCCAGAGTTAACATGCCACACCATCCTCCAAAAATCGTCCAAAGTGTTCGGTTTCGGTCCTAAAGTGAAGTGATAAACAACTCTTTATTACATGATTTTTTTTTTGCATTTACAAGTTTCAACAATGATAATCTAGGAAAAATGTAACGCATTCCATGACAAATCTCTGTTGTTGGCAAAATATATAAATATATTGTTAAAATATATATTTTCATAAATTATATATTGATTTGACACATAAATAATTTATGTAAACGGACTAGTTGCTCTGCTAACTTATATAGCTAAAGTTGAATACTCTATAAATTAAACCTTGTCACTTTATTTCAACAAATCTCGATTCTATATCAAGTGTTATTCCTTCTTTTGAAGATTATTTAAATACAAGAAAATATGATGATAAACACACGTAAAAACATTTAGACCAAGTACATGTCTATGTTTTTGTAGACGTTTAAGAAATGTTTAATCAAAGCTAACAATTTGGTAGAAATATACCTGTGGGTATCCTTGTTAGTGTGCTAACAAGTATAGATACAGCATAATATTTACGTGAAAGAAATGACTGATTTAATAGATAAACAATATTGAACAAAACAGGCAATGAAAAAAATGATAAGGAATTATTGGTGTCATCAGCTTACATGAATATGATATGATGAAATCTAAACAAGGTCAAAGAATCATTAAAACGTCTTGTGCACGCATTACTATTACATCAGTGAGTCCATTACCTTGACTAGCAATGTAGACTTTATTCGTGTCAATACTCTGCAATTAAAAACAGTGTAAGGACTAAGAAGACACGTTCCATAATTACATTGTGTTTGATATTTATCATATCATATTGCCTGCATAAATATGTTATCAAACGATAAAAAATTTAGAATCAGAACGTTTCATAGTATCTCTCATACAGATACTGTTCATTAATATATGTTCTTGTCTACGATTCTGTACTTATATTCCATCTAGTATTAATATTGTTCCTTACACATAACTATAAGTATTGTATCCAAACATAATTAATATAAGTATTTGACCAAATCGATATTGAAGTCACCGATGTGCGTACATCAATGTAATTAGCATTGATATATGTAGTATCCGTGTCGTTGTTGCTTCTTTCCAATATAACTCTCGAGTGGTCATCTGAAAATAATAGTCTCGTAGTTTAAAAAATGCAGTATAAACGTAATACAAGTACCAATGTTCCAGGAGAGTGCTTACTGTCAAAAAAATGGCGGTGTGGTGGGGGTGGGGGAGATATATCCTACACATACATCGTACATACATTGTTAACGGTAGGAAAGGCCCTAAGATTTAAAATGTATATCTTCAATACAATTTTAAGTGCAAATAGGTGCTATTATACAGATTATGATTTGAAGATAGCAATAAAGAAATCTTACATGGAAATGTAGTCTTAAATCTGTTCTTGTTCCTGTTTACTGCCTTTTTACCTTCCTCATGAGGATGGATGGCTCCCATCTGAAATGTCTACAAAATGGGATAATGAATATTGATATTTTTTAATCAGTGCAACATTGTTATTACGCTTATACAATATGCCTGTAAGGGAATTATGTGGCACAATAGTAAAAAAAATGTTATACACTAGTCCGTTGTGTGTTTAATTTTCCATCAATATTCAATTAATCATTGTCAAAGGACGCTTTTTGATACTAATTAATTATATCTGATTTACATGTATGTATAATGTAAGAATTTAATATCAAGAGGTTTTTTTTCATAGCATACAGATATGGGCGCTTAACCTCAAAATGTAAATATGTTGACTAATTTTCGTTTTTCTTGTTTCAATTTTTAAAAATTTGAATAATAAAATCAGTTGATCTTTGCACATTTAGTATTATGTATGTACCTTAAACTCCTCCTGAAAAGCTTCTGAGTCATTAGCCATCTTGGAATCAATTATTGTCCTCAATTCATTGACAGGGACGAGCGACACGTGACTATTACTGTACACCACTTCCTCGTCCAGTCTAATGTCACGCAAGTTCATATACACTAGTTCACATTCGTCTTCAGTTACTACAAATGTAAACATTTTACTTAAGTAATCCTATATTAGAATGTTACCATGGTAATAGTTCAAATTGAACAATATATTGTTTCTGCCAGAAGATACGCTTTACATTTGTTGTTATTGTTAATGAGAAATTACACATATATCATGTAAGTATCCATGGCTTATATTAACTTCATACCTTCATGGCTGACACGGAAATCTAACAGAAGCTCACCCTTAGCACTTCTATCCTTTGCTGGCTCATCAAATGAGCCCCTTTCTTGCTTGTCCGGATTCGTTTCTAAATTGTCGGACGTTTTGTTACTGCAATGGGAGGAGTCGGTTGCAGTCGTTGGTGATATTTTCCTAAATATAACAAAACGCAAGCTTATACTATGAAGTATATATATCGTATGTCTTCGGATTTTGTAGCCTTCAATATATGCAAGTAAAGTTGATGGAACTAATCAGTATTATGTTGAAAGACACTATTAAACTTCAAGTATTAAAGCAAAGTAAAGACATTGTTTACACAATCATGACGTCACAAAGGAATCATTAATGACATTTTGCCAATTATCTGTTACCAGGGAGTAATAAGCATATGATATGAATCCAACTTAGACGCACATAAACAAAATGTCGCCCGTTAAAGTTCGTTTTTACATTCATAATCTTCATTCTTGTATACCAAAATTGCGTTTAGATTTTTCGCTTAAACAAATAATGACACCAGCATATTCATATTCAAATCTAAATGATATGGTTCCCTTTGTTATTACTGATAACAATCGTATGAAAAGTTATGTTCACAAACCTAACTGGCTTCTTCTTCATACTAAAATTATGATATTTGCAGTATTTTACTTTTTGTTTGTTGGGAATAAAAGTTGTTTATTGCCCATGGATATCTTAGTAAGAAGTGATGCGGTTCTCGTTCAGATTTCACAGAGAAACGTGTCAAGTGTTTCTTGAAGTCAATGAGCGGATTGATTTGATTCTCAGAATGGAAAAAAATAAGATGGCAACGACGACCAGCAGGACTGTTTGGATTGTCAGATTGTTTTATAACAAAATACGTATTGACAATATTTAGTTGTTTCTTTAACCGTTTCATTTTTATGTGAAATTTTTCTTTTTGATTTTCGAGAACACTTCCTATTGATGTTCAAACCTTCGGAAATGTCAGTACTGAAAGTTACCAGCGGTCATATGTTTACTGACCTAAACGCTGTAAATTTAAGTACATGTATAGAGTAATCTACAACAATTCGCTATGCTAATGACATATCGGCGAATACAACACAGAATGAAAATGTTAAGGATAAAACATACTTAAAAGTCGATACACTGCGTGAGAAACATGACATCGAGACATCGATCGATGTACTTTCAAATACATCGCGTACATCGTCGAAAGGGGCGTAACTCTGACATCATACGCTGTTTTCAAAATATTCTTATGTATTACTAATACAGTTCGTAATCCGTTACAGATTTGTGACAAGCGTTAATCTGTATATGAATGTTACCTTTTAAGGATAATAAATATCGCTACAGAGACGAGAGCAATTACTGCAGTTCCACCAACTCCGGCGCCGACATAAACACCGTCCACCTCTTCTGGAGTGGACACAACTGAAAAGTAGGACCCAAAATAAAAATAATTGTGCGGGCTACAATGTACACGTGGCGTTGAAATCGAAACAAGATTAGACCAATTTATAGAAACTAACATATGACTCTTATGATTACGTATATAACACTTACCTGTAACATTACACCTTTTCCCTCCCCAGCCTTCCATACAGATACATGAACCGTTGATCATATCACATGAGTCGTCAATACAATGTCCACATTCCTCCTTACAGTCAAGTCCATAGTAGCCAGTCTTACAAGCTGTTTTGACATCATAATATTGTATAAAATGACGTTAAAATATTTCTATGCAAAATCAAAGACTGTATAAGATGACGTTAAAATATTTCTATGCAAAATCAAGGATGAAGTTTAAAGATCCAGAATATAATATGTGCTTGATCTTTAAAATTACCCATTGTAACAGAATTACGAAATGTATTCAACTATGGGGCTAGTGTACCTCTCCATCTAGAATTTGTTTTTTCTTTCGACCATTTTTTATTTTACTCATCTTGCCTCTTTGGCTTGAACATTCAGGTCTTTATCATCACTGACAAGACCTAGAAGAACGAAACGGCTGTATAATGATGTTTACTTCATTGTTTGGCTCTACTTCGTCTAACTCTTAATTTGTATTTTAAAGGTGCTATTTAATTGTGTGTTTTTGTACATTTTTAAAGACATCAAATTACCATGAAGAAAGGCGTTACATTCACCTTGAGATAATCTCTGTATTTCTTTACAATACGTGTGTAACAATATTGACATTACCTAAACAGTAACCATTGTCCTGATGGCACCCATCAATTGCACAACTATTCGAACACGACTGGTTACAATCGCTACCAAAGGCACCTGGCTCACAAGCTAAAATAATAAGTATAATAGGTTCATCTTATCTGTATATTAAAAACATGAAATATTAACTACTTTTATAACAACATGATGTATGTGACAAAATCAATAAACGTTAAGCAACAACTCGACTGATTAATATTTTGTAATAAATGTTGTTCTGATAAAATACCGCTAAACGTTAAGCAGAAAGTAGACTGCTTGTTTTATCGCAATAAATGTAGTTAAGATAAAATATCAATAGTCATTTTTCTAATCTTGCAAGTTTGTTTTTACTGTTCTATTCAAAGTGTGTTAGTAATTCTTATTAACATACCGTACCTGAACAATGTCCAGTGTTTCTATCACAATGTACTTCAGAGCAATTTAAAGGACAAGTCTGGTTACAGGCAGTGCCATGAAATCCAGATATACATGCTAAAATATGAGATAGTTTTTCTTTTATCTGATTCTTTCATATAACCTTCTATATTATGTTTACAAATTCCGTTTATCTCGAGTGATAAAACGGAAATGCGAAAGAAGAAAGAATAATATCACCCCTTTGTTGACATATTTAACAATCAATATGTACAAAAAATGAGCGGCATAAGGAAACGTACAAGGAATTCTGCTACACAGGATACATCTATATATCATATGAATGGAGTATTAAATATCAGCTAAAGAATGAATCAGTATAGATTTGATATAAACATAAAATAAAAACGAGTTCAAAATCTTTATAATTTCTTGTCCAAAAAATAAGATTATGTAATTGTGGAGTAGTAAATTAGTTATTTTCCTGAAAGATACATAAATCGCTACATATTTTACGACTATGGCAAATTTGCTAGAGATTTGTTGCAAAAAGAGGATTTTTTATGTTAAATGCTCAACAAACCCGTGCATTGGCCACTGGTCTGTACACATGTCAAACAATTAGATGGACACTTTTTATCACACCTGGCATCGTAGTATCCAGACACACATTCTGTATCAAGAATAATAAAAACACTTTAGATGTAGAAAAGGAAAAAAAATATGATAAAAATTCTGTTAGAAAAAGGAATATCGATGTTTTCATTAAGCAACGTTACAACGTCTATTATTCTCAGGATTCATTATGACACATGAATTCACAAAGCATTCAAGGAAAGATGTTAACTAATATTCAATTCGGAATCTTCATGATTCTGCATTACGTGTTATTTGATGAATTATAATGATATAAACGACTGGTTTGAGTAGAAAGACGATTTTTTGAAAATTGATATCATAATTGTTTTAAGAATAAAACGAAATCAATTAAATAGTGACAAATAGCACAATACTTACGACTGCAATTACCGTATTTCTTATCACAGACGGGATTAACACATCCACTAGAGCAAGACTTGCAGAATGGTCCATAGGAGCCATCTTCACAGGCTTTAAAGAATTAGGAAACGATTATTTGAATTGTCCAATTGTGGTTTTAACATTTCAAATGAAGTAATGTTGTTGAAGTAATATCATTTGTAACTACTCGATATTCGCATAGATACTCAATATAAAGATTGCAAATTCTTCAGTTTCATTTTCATGATCTTCATTATATAAATTACATACGCCATTGAAACACAAATTAATCCTGTAAGATACATGTCAGTGTGAACTGAATAAAAACATGTGATCAGTTTCAACCAACACGTATATGTTTACTCGAGAGGATTCGAGTAGTCATACAATATAGGTTTAGGATAAGATAATCCGTTTCTCAGTCCTTCACTGACCGTCCAATGTTTGTGACCTACCCTGGCAAACACCTGACATGACGTTACATGTACCATTCAGACAATTAGCAGGGCAACGTCTGCAGGTAACACCATCCTTATAAAATCCGTTTTCACAGTCTGAAAAATACACGGTATATTATTTTTGTTCACAGTATTCTCTTCAGAGGTGACTGCAATCGACATAACTATAAACAAGTACATATGTTTTTGTCTCAAATTGTGTAGTCGACGTTATCACGATGTTAAATAACAAATGCACATGGCATATTTTATAGGGTATTTCATTACTGATACTTCCAAATGAAAACACGGTTGAACATTTACTACCACAAATACATCATCAAGTATACTTACATTTACATTGGCCAGTCGTCGGATTACACAACTCCATGACGCAGGATGTGTTGCAGGTCGAAAGACAATTACCATTGCCGTATTTTCCCAACGGACAACCTTGAATTTTTGTCATTGATAATTTGATATGGACGATTTGTCGATGATAAGTAGAATAAAATCTAATGAGCTATAAAATCACAGATATAACAAAGACACCGTCGATTTCACAACAAATTATGAAAGTTATTCCATTTCACAAAAATATACCGGAGACAACATTTAAACAATGTTTATTACAATCACATTATTTTTTTAAATATTTTTTGACATTTTTAACACATTTAGCACTATCAACTAACCGATATATTGGAAAGAAATATAAGTGAAATGTTTAACATACCATATACTTCGACCTCACATAGCTCAAGCAAAGCATATAAGGAATACCAATTATAGGCTTTTGTCATTGTACGATCAGTATATATAGTTAAGTATCTACTGGTTCCTGTACAGTTGATATTAGGTGTCAGATTAATATCATCACGTGCAGCAGTTGTGTCGATATGGCAACGCCGACCCTCTCTCCACTTTGTTGTATTTGATAAGTAAACTTGGTAGCCACCAAATCGTTTTTTCTGTACGTAGTTTTCGTCTAAATAAATCAGAAAAAAATCGCAGATGGTACAAGTAGTACAAAAAAAGTGGTACACTTTATATATAAATATCTGTCAACACGCTCTATATTATTAAAATCGAATAGTCTTTGTTGTTGATGTACAATGTGTCTTGATGCTGACCATAAAACCACAAGTTCCTATATTAAGTACATGTATACAAGTAGACATGCGGATTGCTGTGTCCGTTCATACGTAATGCAATTTTTTCAGCAAGATATCTCTGTGTTACCCAAACTAAAACAAAACAGAACACAAATAAAACATACAAGAGAAGAAACAAACCTCTGTAGTATATTTTAACGGATTCCGAGACAACCTGTTCCTGAAAATTCATCTGCCAAACAGCACTCATTTGGCGTAAAGCTGTATGTGAGCAACATCCACTAGATAAATACTGTTTAGTGCATCCATCGACTGCTTTATCGCTGCTTGTGCCTTTCTGGTATGTCGAGCCTTGGTAGGTCTTTCTGACAGTTGGATTACGGCTCAAATTGACTATTATTTATATATGAAAAAACAACTTAACGTGGGGTATATGTTAAAGTAAGTTTTTTTGTGATAAAAATCAATAATCCGAAATGAAATATGGACTGTTACACAATCGCTTTCACTCTTAACTATGTCTATAGTGGAAAATAGGGTTCAAAATAACTCATCGTGATATCCTTTCATTTTTATCTTTTCTCATTTCATTTTTCCCCGAACTTGAATCCGAACCCGAGTTTGAGCTATATATACACATTTGCACATATCTTTGAAAGAAAATATTTTGTAAATTTATTCACAAAGTATCGCTTTTTATTTGTTTACTTGATGGATTTAATACTAATTACTGAATTTGTAAAAATTTAACAAATTAACATCGTAACAAATAAGGTACATTGTATACGGACGACACATTCAACGCTAAATAAGTTAATTCTTTGCTATAGTGTTAAATAAATCTCTTTGCTGTGTACATGTATACATACGAATGTATGTTAAACACCTGTGTGTATGTGAACACCACATGTGTAGTGTGCATTGATGCCTAAAGTGTGTCTGTTGTATTTTAAATATATCTTAAAGGAATGACATCAGTGAAATACACACTTTAAATATTTACTTTCGATTTCAAATATGATAATTCTAAATTAATAAACTAAACCACGGTGTATATATTGCTCAGCATTCTACTGTTATGAGGCGTTATTGTTCAAATAAACTTGCTGTCACTCATCACACATGGAAATCGTTTTTGATTTGTGATTTCTTACACGAATCATAGCCCGAACATATACTATGTAGGTAAAATATACATACCTGACGTGCAGGAATTCGTTATATTTACAAAGAAGCATACAACCATTAACAAATAAGACACTTCCATTTTAAACCACACTGTTAGCCTAGGTAAAGAGCTATGATGGTGCTCTCTCCACTCCTTAACTCATACCAGGAAACCAAGCGGACACAGTGGTGTTCTACTCACACATTTATTGTTCTACTACAGAATTAATAAGCGTAACGCCCTACAACTATTTTCACCTGCTGGATTTGTTTTGCTACAGTGATGTCTCATTATGTCAGACCATTGAAACAGTGGCTAGCGAATCACATATATATATCCTGACTGACGGCATATTTACAGCAATACCAAATATATCACATGCAGTTTATCATGGAAACAAAGCTGTCTAAGATACAATGTACATACACTGTATCAAATCGGAACAGTTTCATTAGATATATCATTTGAGCCGATGACACATAGGGAATGAAATATCAAGCTATACGGTTTACTACATATGTTTTACTTCCTGCGTAATTCTAGATGAATTATATACATACATGGGTCTGTTTAGATTGACGGGAGTACATGTAAGTTTACTTACTTTTTATTTCACTATGTCTAAATATAGTCTTGTAATTACCTTATGTTTCTATCACTACATTCGATTGCGTCATCACGCTATCTATATCACAATCTACCTGTACGTAATTGATAAAAGTTGTGTGATTTGGAAAATCGTTTTATATTTCTTATCGAAAAAGTGAGTATTAAGACAGAAATTAGTCAAATGAATAAGAGTCAGAAAAATTTAATTCTTAAAATTGATATATTATAAGTGAATATATAAGAGAAGCAAGTTCCAGTTGACACATCGGGATAATTGAGGACCACTTTCTCTTGTGGTGTGGAGAATATGTCTTGATTTCCATCTCTCTAAGTCATATTAAACGTAATCGTGAAACATATAACAGATCAATTTTTCAGTAGAACGTCCTTAGCTATTATCATTATCATTAGATTAGTCCGGCGATGATATTGGGGTTGCTGAATCGGGTCATTCTAAGAATAACAAACATATTTATCTGAACCCACTTTAAGGTCAGTACACATAGTATGCTATTCAAATAATCAAATTTTGTGTTGGTTGTTAGAAGAAAATGTGCAGGTCTTATTCGGGGACGTAATGTAAAATTAAAATTGTATTGTTTTATATTACAAACTTAATATTTTAGTGAAAATTGTTGTTTTTTGTATGTGTCTTTTTTGCGACAGATGTATCTTGTTTTAAGAATGTGCGAATATCATGCACTTGGAATATGTTGGTTATAAAATATGTACGTATATATGTGCTTAACAGGCTTAGTAATTGATCCTAATTTCGGAATTATAATGTCCAATAAAAATGTAAATGCAGGTTGGAGCCATTCTTGGACCATGCAGTTACTGATGTTTTTAAAACAACAGTTAAACGTCAGCAGCATATAGTGTGTTTTTCAAAACATCAGATTAAATTTAAGCTTACAGAAAATTCGATGGCAAGATGGGATAATATAAAGTGAACATTTGTATTACTGACGACGTTACAAGCATTTGTTTGAAGTGAAAGGTATGGGATTTCCTTTCTAACCACAGGAGTAGAAGAAATAAGTTAAAAAAATCTAGAACCGATAAAGTCGGTAAAATCCTTTCATAGCATGTCTATTTTCACTTCAAATGGATTTTGATATGACTTTAAACATTCATTTACCAGTCTTTTATAATTGACAAATTGCCACCTATATGACCCAGGAGGGTCTGTGGTCACGGCACTCCAAACACGTCACATAATGAACCTTTAATGCTGTTGTGATTCAGATAATTTCTGTTAGACACCGGGTAAGAAAAAAGGCTATTTGGCTTAATGCGTCAACTGTATCATTTGCACTCCAAAAGTAGGTTGTTAGTTGAAAAGTTACCGTAGCTGTATGTTATCCAAGGGAAGCATTGAAGTTGTTGTAACGTATCAGTAAGTATTAACTAATAGTTTGAAAATGGAAGATAGAAATTTTGTAATAAAGGATATTTGTAGGATCTTTTCCGTCTTATCTGTTGATACATACATGTTGTATAGTATTATAGGAAATAATGCGTGACTAAACCTTTAGGTGTTTTTGAGTCTGATGAAGGTCCTGTGTTAAAAAGAAGAAAACACTTCGTCTCTTCGAATCGACTCTCATTAGTAGCCATCTAATGCATTTATAAAATGTCACCAACTCGATCAGTTTTCTATCATCTTATCTTCATCACGTACATGGTCTTCAATGATGTTTCAATATACATAGGCTTGTAATACAATGTGTTAGTTCTGTAGAATTTATGACCATTCAGAATACAACAAAGTACATACGTTTCAAAAGGCATTTGATCGAAACGTTACAAACTATATTTAAACGGATGTTATATATCAGTTTTTATTACGTTTATATACACTAACTGTGAGAAGGTATGGAATAAGGTTAACGAAGTCTTTTAGCAGAGGTAATTGTTGTCATGTTTCATATAATGATCAGTTATATAACAACACAAATATCAGGCATGCTAACGGCAATCGAATACATCTGGCTTCATATCACCAAAGACAAAACAAAGCTTTCAATGATGATGATGATGATGTACTGGTGTCCCAATGATGATGATGATGATGATGATGATGATGATGATGCACTGGTGTCCCAATGATGATTGATGATAATGAGGAGGAGGAGGATGAGGATGATGATGATGAGGCGGAGGAGGAGGAGGATGTGCTGGTGTCCCAATGATGTTGATGATGATGATGCAATGGTGTCCCAATGATGATGATGATGATGATGATGATGATGATTATGATGTGAGTCTCCGTGTAAATATTGTTTTAGATGATATTTCCCCCTTGTTTCTTTGAATTTGAGTTTGAATCATAATTATGTTGTTTTGGGATTTACTTTTTCAGCCATTCTGCACAATTGGAAAATTTTTGTATTATATGTTTATCTGTCAACTGTCGACACCTTTCACGGAAATTAGCGCTTGCACATGGAACAATTGTATTTTGAAAAAGAGGACAATACTTGACGTATGCAGATTTAAAGTTCCGTATAGATAAAGATTGTATCATATCTGCTTGTTAGAAATCCAATACAACTTCATATGTCTAGCGTGGTTTTGAGGTGAATCAAGAAATAGGAATTTGGTATTTCGTCTTACACTTTTTGAAAGAAACAATAGAATGAATTAATCTGACTATAACATGATCGTTTTCATTTGCCTTTTACAAGGTATTTCTTGCAGACGTTTTCATACCATGCTCATGCATGTTTTGCAAAACAAATGTGTTTTTAAGAATGACTTCATTAAAAATACGATGATTAGAAAAGAAGCCTTTAAAAAGTTTGCCAATAGCTTAACGTTTGAGGTTAGTTTAAATGGTCTTATGAATTTCCTACCTTTAAACGTTTCTCTATAAATGACAAACACCAATTGTTAACTGGCTTTAACTGGCTAACATGTTGTGTGTAGCGTTCTTTTCATATCCATATATAACAGGATTGCCTGTTGCACAAGTAGGTTTATACATGTTCTAACATGAATACTTCCAGGGTATGTACACCGCCACTGCACAGAGTAGTAGCTGTCATGTCGTCCTGGTTAAGTATACGAATCTCCAAAGTCTTCTTATTGCTGTTGTTGTCCGTACCGTTATATAAACCTGAAAGTAAGTACATATCAAAAAACTGTCATATAACATTGGCTACTACAGGTATAATTCTTGATAAGTGCTATCAAATTATCTGTACCGGTTACTTTCTACTTGTTGACTATTGTTTATACTATACGTTATTTAATGCGAGGACATATGTACAGTATTGAATTTAATTTCAAGGCAAGTCGGTTTCTTCATGTTCGCTGTACAACTTAAGACACAAATATCAGTTGATTTGTAACTACAGCACCTATTCAATATATCAAGATTATTAAGACTCCCTATTGATGTTTGGATTTAAATTGCTATGACGATGATATCTGGCTTTCAATACAGGACCTCCTGATAGGATATATTGGTGTCATACATTACCGGAAGTTGTTGATATAGTTTATAAAAGAGGCATACTGACATAGCAATAAAGTCATAATTCAAACCCAATATATATAAACTGGGAGCAGATTTACATGGATATCTATGAAAAGTGTAACCAGAATAAAACCAGGTGTTTCGGCAGAATAAATTCTGATTCTATTCTACTCTTTCAATCAAAGAATTTTTTAGTTTTATTTTCTCTAACAGGAAATGTCGCCTTAACGGGTACTGCAATACAATCAACAGACCAAGGACATCTATGGACAGCAAATAAAGCGATCGACAATTGCATCAACCAATCCGTAACATCTAATTGCTGTGCTCTTACGTCCGATGAAGGTTACACACAAGCAGAATGGCGTGTAGATTTAGGACAGATGAGGACAATACAATATATCACGATCTACTTCAGACGTGAGTTATCACTGTTTTGCTGGAGAATATGTTTTTGATCTTGTGTATGTTACTGAAGTAGGGTTATACAACTGACATTTGCATTGTGAATTTCATGTACTTGTTGATAAATCAACTTACCTTCGGCGCCCATACTTACACGGGATATTTTCCCTTGACCAGATCTGATATTTCTATCAAATCTAAATGGATTCACATTTATTCCAGAGAATACAATACGTTGAGCTTGGCATTTTAATGATTGTTTGTAACATTCAAATCAATAGCAAAAACAAGAAATGTCGTTCAAGTCCAATTGTGACCTATTCCGGTAAATTCAGAGTTAAATATCCATGAATTCGTCTCTTTAGCATTCGTTTTTTGGAGGTATGCTCAATATATAAGCAGTAAATATATTGTTAGTGACAACCAATATTCAAATTTAATACTGAAATCACTTTTAAATAGTAAACTTTAACGTTGGGAGGAGAATAGAAGAAAATATATTAGGGTGTAATTGATACAAAGTTGATTTTTATTAAAGATAATTCTGCGTCCCGTTTTGGTGGATACACGCTCTTCGTGTCAAACTCAACAGCCCACCTGCATGACATTGTTTGTTACAAGGATAACAGTAGTAAGGCAGCAGATTTACAATTAAACCCGACACACCAATGCCCTTACGTAGCGCGGTATGTAACCATCTACAACTACAGAGAGAACCCGGCCAGGCAGACCTGGTATGATAAATACGCTATTCTGGAATTATGTGAAGTTCAAGTCTTTGGTAAGATATTTGTTATCAGTTTTAAAAAATGGAAATTGTAGATTAAGAATTATTAATTCCAATTATAGATGACGAATCAAAGTAGTGTTGAAACATTCCATTTATTATGATGGTTTATATGGGGAAAATACACATCATTTTTTATTAAGTCACAAAAAAAAAGCAAACCGTACCGAAAAAAAAAAAAAAAAAAAAAAAATTAAATGTGGGTTTTGACAAAAAACAAAAAATGTCGATGCTTATTATACATGGACTACTTGAGGTATAGTTGATTTAATTCCGTCTCAAAGTTTCCTTGTATGGTAACAGTACAAAAATGATGAGTTTAAAGACTTTGCTATAATAGGATATATTTATCAAGATATCCTTTATCACCTAACTTCAAATTTGAGACTTTCTAGAATAATGATCAAATATGATTTACATAGGTATGTATCCATGTGCACGTGCCAACCATGGTAACAGCGTGTATATCTTTTGATGCTATCGTATCATATGACTTTGAAATAATTTAATTTTTTAGTGAATGTACTCTTCTGTAGTGATCATTGTCCAGACAAAACAGATATGATTAAACTCTTTTAAAACATTGTTGACATATAAAAATGTTGACTTTAAAAAAGCAAATGAATACCTTTCAAAGATAAATTTGAAGGAACATTTATCACAATAACACGTAGAAAATATGAGTATCTTACACGAGAAAAAAAGGAATTTGTTGATAAATGTGCATCTATTGAACATGTTACAGCAAGATCAAATACTAAATCTTGGTACATCGTACATAGTCACTTAACCATTTTACACTATAACATGATCACTGCAGGGATGGTAAATTAATTAACAAAACAACATGTTCTTCCATCGACTAGAAAGAAGCGCGGGTGATTTTTCTATAGCAGATATACAGTACGTCAGTATTTATCTGATTACAGCTTTTCATGTAACGTAACTCCAGAAAACGGTTAAAGCTTGTTTTAATTGTTTTAAGCTACATTCGACATGACGTCAGAGATGCAATGTATTTGGAAATTTGAAGCCATCATCGGGTTCATACAATATTAGTCTTTCGAGTGCCTTGTGATGGTTAAATATTACTTTCAAGTCATGTAAATAAGCTGCTAAAAAGTATCTCAGTACTTCTTATCTTTCCAGGATGCCCGATGGGAAGTTTTGGAAATGGCAATTGTAACAGTAATTGCTTAGAAAGCTGTTTAGGAGGAAATTGCAACGCAAACAATGGTTCCTGTTTCTGTAAGGTTTCCACTCAGTCACTTATGTGATTAACGTATATCTTGGTAAAAGACGTACCATTGAAATGTAGCTAAGTTTAGAAGTACTGCACAGCTTCCTAACACATTACCATTGGAAAGGTGTTATTATTAAGGTTATAAGTGGATTCGGACGTAGATAATTCAACGAACGTTTCTTTGATATTAAACATTTGATGGTTACTTTAGACATCGAAAGCGTAAAAGTTATATAATTTACATCAAAAACGTTCATCTCACTCCTCAAACGGCTAAATACAATGAAGATAGTGAAGGAACAGGTCGTTTATAAGATTCAAATTACAAACTCTTGGGTGTTTGAACATTGGACCGAATAGCGATGATTTGAGTTATATATGAGTCTAGTATACCTTAAATGAATCTAAGAAAATCATTGTTCGATGTACGAAAACTATGTCAAATTTTAAACATATCCGTTTCCAATATGGAAAATGATATATAATAGAACAAAAGTTTGATTTCAGTTTATATGGTTACAATGGGTATCACCAGAGGGTAAAGTATAGCACTTTTTGTGTAAAGACTGTATGTTTTCGTTGCAGATTGTTTTCCTGGAATGTTCGGCGAGTTTTGTGAACAACATTGTAGTACAGACTGTAGTATGTCCACTTGCGAGAAAGAAACAGGTCTTTGTCAAGGTATTCGAATCGTTTATTTTTTTTCTCTTATTAACGTCAGGTGTGCTGCAGATGTGGTTTTATGTCGTGTATAACCATAGCTTTAGATGCAGTTTGATTAATATATTGATGAAGGTTAGTTCTCGTCACAATCACACATGAAAATATTCTGTTTCCTCGAGGGATATGATCGGTGTTCGTTGGTATTCCCCGGGGATCTGTGGCTGTTATCAGTGTTCACATTTGTGAACACGCCAAAAACAACCTGGATTGAACAAAAATAACATGTCGCCAATGAAGAAGAAACTCAAGTCTATGGAACATCTTGTCTGATTTTCCTTACATTTTTTTCAGATGTCTTTTTGTACATTTTTGTTCGTATTTTACCATCGTTTGTTTCATTTATCTTGATTGTGAAGAATGATTCTGATGATAGGTTTCAGTTGTCTTCTATGTCTACATGGTGGTAGCTTAAACAATTAATTCACCATGAAAGCAGGCTAAGATACGCTCGATCTTATATATGCATTATTGGTAGTTTTATCAAGTTCTAAATAATTCACTTTTTAACTCATAGCTATATCGAATCCGTTTTGAAAATTTATTAAGAATACCATTTAGCTGGAAGTTTTCACGTGCCAGAATTTTCACGATTTTTTAAAGGTATGGAATTATATTTTTATTAATTAAAATTTCTAAATGTCCATGTAATGTGACATATAATACATATGCGTCTCATTTACTTACGGATTTAAATTTCTGCGATCAGTTAATGTACTCCGAAATATAAAAAATGTCAAAACATTGGCTATGCGGTAAATGTTAGCAATTTGAAAAGCAAATTTCATACATAGGATTTTATTTTAAAAATTGAAAAAAAACATAGCAGTCTAGAAGGATTGCATTCGCAGATACATAATTTTTTCTTGGAAGGAAATCGGCAAAAAGGCTGTGAATGAGAGTTCATTTTTCACATTACATTATATCATTTAAGTGATCGCAGACAAACGTTATTATTGAAGAATTCTAATAGAAGAATGCAAGACTATTTTGTACCAATTTCTTATATAAGTTGATATTAGATATTTTACAAACCAAGCGCTGTAAATGGATTATCCCATTCAAATGATAAAACAATACCAACATTTAAGATAAAAAAATATTTTCAGAATGTGTTTCCGGTAAAAGAGGTGAATTCTGTAATATCAGCTGTCCGGTAAACTGTGTGACTTGTAATCAGACGAACGGACAGTGTTTTGGTAAGTAAAAATATAGCATAGCAGTGTGAATGACTACCAGGTATTTTAGCAGCTCCCTGTTGTAAAGAAGCAGGGACTATCAAGAATGTCTCTTTGTAAATAATGATCGACCAACTTCACTCTCGTTTTACAGGCACACTTTGTTTACTTTTCACATAAACGTGTTACAAAGTCTCTCATTTTACCTGAGCTAGTATCAATACTTCCTTTATGTTGTCTCAAGTTGCCTTGATTAAATACGAAACGTCTAGATCAGAGATATGTTTGATTAGGGTCTTCCATAACAACAGGTTTAGGCGTTTTAGCAACTCGGATTGAAGTCATGGAAATGTTTGATTCACAAACTGTACCAAAGTGCAATAGGTCTGACCTAAACTATAGAATTATAGAAAAAAGAAAATCAAATGATAAAATGCCAAAACTGAAAGCAAGACATTGACTATTTAAGTTACTCTGCTCAAGTCAACTGGATTTATACTTAAGACCATCGTTGCTCCCAATGTGGCTTTGATACCAGGGGCGATTTGTTTATGCTTCAAAAACATTTCTTTGATATAGTGTATCATTTCTAATGTACTTATCTATGAATATGAAACACGACACATCCATTATGATCTAAGGGAAGTAAATCTTACGATTGTTTAACCAAACTGAGAAATACAATAGATTGTAAAATTTGAACAAAATACATTCCCAGAATATTTTTAGCTATGAATTATATATTCAACAAAGACACTCATCAAAGTTAATTTACCACATCTATATACAAAAATAATGATTAATCATTTAATAAAAATTAAATTACTATTTTGTTTTCTTACGTGTCTTCTCACTGTTCTCTGTTTGACCTTCATGTTACGAGAACTAAACCCGCGTTTTGATGATTTAAAGCATGCTGCGTTCGCAGTCAACATATCATGTGATTTTATGATTGAGACCTAATGGAATTTTTTTTTCTTATTGCATCCTTCGACACTTTATTGATTTTTGAAAATTCGGAGGTCATCTGAGGACCTGATTATCAAAGGTATAATAATAGATACTCAACATGTTACTAAAATAATTCAATTTAAAGTGGGAGTGGCTTTCACTTTTCACAGATAATGTTCTACTTTATTATATTAATAATTCTGTAGATTCCTTCTGCCACGAGATAGATATTTAACTCTAAAATTTATAGTATCAATAAGCTGTATTCAATAATCTTCACACTTGCCATGACGTTCTAAGCTTTCTAAACCAACTTGGCTTGTATTATTTACAAAGCATCGTGTATGTCGGTCTAATCTGACAAAAGTTGCTATCATGCTTGATGAATTTTGAAAAATAAAAATGATATACACTCTATGGTCACAGGCAGTGCCTGTTTACATATCTGTAATGTTGCAAATCACTACAATTACATTTGTTACAAAACATCTTAACAGAGATCTGACACCAAACATCGCGTGATATTTAACAAAGCTGTTTAACTACCATGTGATCATTACTGGTGCTGTGAAACAATCAGGTGATCGCTATTGGTGTTGTGTAACTACATGTATCGTGTGATCGTTAGTAGTATAATGTAACTGTCGTGTGATCTTTACTGGTGTTTTGTTACAATTACTTCATCGTTAAATGTGCTATGAAACAATCGTGTGATTACTGTTGGTGCTGTGCTAAAAAATATTATCATTACTGTTGCTGTGCAACAATCATCTAACGCTAATGGTGCTGTGTAACAATCATGTGACAATGATGGTGCTGTATAAAAAACCTTGTGATTGCTATTAGTGGTGTGCAATAATCGTATGGTCGTTACCTGTGCTGAATTCCTTTGATGATTTCATTGTTTTCATTTCTTTAAATCGTAGGGTTACTCACGCATATCCATATAACATGAATTATGTGTTGAAAATTGTTTTAATATGTCTCTTTTGAGGTGATAATACCATTCAATTTATTGCGTAGATCATAAATAGGCGAAAGAGTATGCTACCGTTTAATAGTATCAAACCAAACTCACCTTGAGACCAGTTTGATCTTTCCCTTAGTAGGAAATGTATTCATTGTAAACGAAAAATCAGTGATTCCTTGATCGTTTCTGACAAGTAACGATATATATCTGCAAATATCTTAATAAATCTAGTTCTGATTATAAATATCCACAACGATCAAACTAAGTATTTTCTATTTTCCTTCTATCATTTTCCAATTCCATACCTTCACAATATATTTTTTATTTCCTGCAAATACAGCTTCATTTTTCGGTCAATGTTGAATCAAGATTATATATAATTTCACCTTAAACATATAACTAATGCCGGCTTTAAATATTCATCTTGTTAGGAAACTGCTAAGACGAGTAAGTCTTCAGCTATTGCAGAAGTGTCTCCATATATGGAATAAAGACCTCCATTGACAACAAGTCGACCTTTTCTTTTTTTTTTTTTTTCCTTTTTTTTTTCTCTTTTTTTTTCATGTACAAATCTGATAATATAATTGAACAGGTAAATCGTCCAGGTACACACGTACATATGTAAACTCCAACTCCAGAGGAAAACGTAATCAAACAAGTGCACATGACAATGCATGAGGGAACTGTTCAATTTGTTATATTTATGTTAAAACTTTTGGCAGTACACGCGTCGTTTTTGACAATATCTGACAGACAATGTATTGCTTGTGTCATTCCAGAATGTGTAAATGGAACATACGGGATCGTGTGTGAACTTGATTGTTCTGTCAACTGTGAAGACAAAACCTGCATGAAGGAAACTGGCTACTGCTTAGGTAATTCTATCGGACCAAATATTAAAAAAAAAAAAAAAAATGTCTGGTTACATTTTATTTGATGATGTCGAGACTCACTTTAAATCGTTAAGACTTCTTCTGTTACATACTGAATATTTCATCCTTTATAAATCTAGAATTGGCATGGTGTTTATCTTAGAATGCGTAAAAGGAAAGTTCGGAGACGTTTGTGAGCGTGATTGTTCATACAACTGTGAAGACAATGTGTGCGCGAAGGACAGCGGCCATTGCTTAGGTAATTATGTAACTCATTGCACAAAAATGATAGAAAAACAAACACTCAGACACAAGGGTAAAATACGAAGAAAACAAATATTTGATTTGGTGTCTTTTGTGTAGTCTTAAGGGGAGCATTTACCACTTAACATATCATAATCTGAACTCACATTCAATACAACTAGGGCAAATTATGAACAAACATTTACGCGGATACTCCTGAAAAGGTTCAAAGAGACCATATTTTCCGGAAGAGTAAGCGTCTGCTGCTTCATCTACGACTTCCGCCATGTAAAATATTGGCCAATGCAAGTAAGTAATGTCAAATGCGGGAAAAAGGCATACAACAATGAAATCATTAAACGCGTCCAGCTTCACATCGCACAAGAAAATAGAACATATACTTTCTCATTAATTAGTGTTTTGCATTCAATGTGCATTGTACAGAAATATGGTTCGTCATTACATTTCGTTTAGAATTTTTAGCTCCAAAATTGTAAAACATAAAAAAAAATCGCTTACTGGAGGGAGTTCCTGCCGACCCTCTGATATAATAAATCCTTGTTATTGAAACTACATTGCTAATTTAAGAAAAACGCTATGAGGTACCGGATGATAATGTAACGTTACTGCGGGCGAAACAAACGAGTCATAAAAAGCATGAAAAAAGATACCAACGTATTCACATGAGATCTGATCTTTCAATATTCCTATTTTTTCTTTTTTAACCATCTTTTTAATCGTTGATACTATTTGACTTATTATTTTGTATTATTTGCGTCATCTATTTATCGAATCATAGTTCAGATGGCTATCAATTTATAATATCTGTAGTTCTAAGAAACAAAACTTAGATCTATTTGATATTTTCCGCACTATTTTTTGGCAGTATGTGATTATGTTGTGTACAAACAAATAGTTTCACGCTTATTTAAAACTTGAAATGAATACTCTCCACTATAAATCATTCATATTGAATTGTTTTTCGGATAACGAATAATAATGTTGTACATATCGTTAAACACTGTAGAGTAAATATTGAAAATACAGACAGGAAATACTCAATTCAGTCATAGTCCTATGGAGATAGAAGGCAGTATAAATGATTTAGACAGAGAAACATGAATAGTCTGAGAAGTATGAAATTTCTGTGCAACTATCATTCGCTTAGATGTTATTAGCTCATCAATGTCTTCATATATTTCGATTGCAGTTTGTCACTGTGTTAAATTGGTACAAGCGTCCCTGGTATCATTATGATATTCATTTCCAGGATGTGTTCCCGGTAAAAGAGGTGACAATTGCAATGCCAACTGTCTATTGAATTGTCTTACCTGCAATCAGACATCCGAACATTGCTTTGGTAATTATTTCTAATCACACCTTTACAGTTTTGATCTTTTGAGATTTCGATGTGTATAAGATGTGTATAACTACTCATGATATGAAGAAACTACTCATGATATGAAGAGAAACATCTCCCTTTTACATCCAAGTGATATGGCTTCACTGCCTATACTGACAGATTCGGTTACACTCCGAAACAAAACAAAAGTCAGTTAAGATAGGGCTTAATTCTATCCTAATTGCAATATCTTAAAATAAGTTTATGACAAATTAAAAGAAAAGTGTACCCTGAAATTAGGATACATCGATTAATGCCCTTTGAAAATATTTCTACACCTACATTTATTTTAAATTCATCCATTCGGCTGTAAGCTCAGCCCAATAACATGGAATGCAAACGACTCCTATTACATTACTTAGTAAGTGAATCCCACTAATAGAGCCAAAATCTACACTGCATCATATAGCAGTTTTATCCTTCTAGGACCCACCAATGATACCGAGGAGCTAAATTTTGAAATATATGAAATTATGAAAACCATAATTACTGGAAGGAAATGTCAATATCTAAAGAGGGGATGTCCAGAATTCAATAATCTTTTTATAATATTCTTCTTTTCATAATTTCAAAAGTACGTCAGGTACACGAATATATTCTATACCAAGCAATGAAAGCGTGGCATGCAGGTCACAACATAATCTTCCAACATTGTCTAGGGTATATTACATTCAATCTCGAAGATGACATAACTATCATTGCGCAACATCAATGTTTACTTTTGAAATCATTCTGATAATGTTGACTATTGTTAACATTCACATGACAGAATACCTGATAACTTTTGTATTACTTTTTAATTATATTATTTTTAAGGTAAAACGGATAGAAAATAACAGAACTGTATACTTGGAAGATTTGTTCTGAATATTTACATGTATTGTTTGTGCTGATAATTAGATTTTACAAACAATGTTTCTAATTATGGTAAATTTTCCTGTATACTATATCATGTTAGTGCCGAATCGAATTGTTAATTTATATAGACGCGATATTTCTTTTAAGACTGTGCAGATGGTTTCTACGGATCTGAATGCCGCGCTTGTTCGGAAGGCTGTGTAAATCCTGTATGCGACAAATTTGAGGGCAATTGTAATGGTATATATGGTCCAATCAACAGACATTGAACACAATCGTGATATGAGCATCATAGCAGTGCACTTCATTTTCTTTATAAGTTACAATAATGGCAACAGAGTATTGGTAGCATTTGAAATTCATTGATAATAAATGGCACATGCTTCAATTAATTTTGATAATAATCGAAATGCTTCAGAGAATATTTCAATACTATCATTCAAAACTGTTTTGTTTTTATTGTGACATGGAAAAATAATCTCTCTTTTAAGGATGCAAAGCTAGATTCTACGGTAGTAAGTGTGATCATAGCTGTCCATCCAATTGTGAAGACAACATGTGCATCCAGAACTCCGGTCATTGTTTAGGTACAAAGTCACTTTGTTAGTTAATTCATGACATCTGTCTTTCGTTTTAAGGTTTGCTTAATATTTGGCTGCTCACGTCTTCATATCATGAAATAAACTTTTTTCAAATGATACTACAACGTAAACAAAATTACACCGTGGCTTGACTATAAATGTTGGAACATGTACACATTCGGCTTTCAAAGAATGCTTACAAGGAATTAATTCAGGAACGGAATACAGAAAAAATATGTTACATTCTTACTGTCCTTGTGTTTAATATATCTGCAATATTGCCTTTTTATCGTCAATCTGATATAGTATAGTTTTGTTTTTGATATATTTAATTTTGGAATTTTGGAAGATAATTGATTTTAAGCACTAAACAAGTAAATAATGTAGATATGGAATTCCTTGAAATGGACTAATTATTTCCATCAACGAGTGTCTCCATAATTAAGACTCATGTAAGGAAATATGTTTTAGATCAATAATATGTATTCTGTCATACATTGATTCAAATAAAAAGGATATAGAATAGCATAGATACCTTCTTTGAGGTGTTTCAAACTACCCGATATATTCACAATTGTTTACGCAAGATGCACATGTCTGGATGCAATCCTTATTCTTCCCGTCAAAATCAAGATCAAACTTTCACGTGAAATATAAGATATTATTAGATAATGCACTGTGTTTGCTGATCCAGTGATAATTCAAATATATTATATCAGCACTAGTGATTTTTTTACAGTAATATCGTAACTTTTATACCGATTTATATATATATATATATATATATATTCGTTTCATTTCCGCCGTTAAATGTCATATATGATAGAATGTGCTTCGTACTCTATATTTATGCTATTTACTTACAAAGTAAATGCAAAGTAAATAGGGCATTAAACAGGAAACCATAAGATATCCTCTATTTTTCAGAATGAAGGCAAATCACAAAAAGACGTCAGTTTTAAGCGATCATCTGTCCTGGATTATTAGGACTAGTATTTACTTATCCTCTAGCTGCCTGTGAGATTGACAAAGCAATATTCAGGATAATTCGAGACATTATGAAACATTATCAATGTACAACACAATTCAAAGGGTTAAATACGGATTGTAGAAAATACTTTTTATAAAGTTTAAAAACTGTTTTTAATGCAATTTTGATTCGATTTTTTTTATAATTAATGATCACTTGTAAAACAGATAGTTTATGTCTTTGCATGGTGTAATAAAAGTTGACAGAATGTTGTATATTGCTCTGGGTCTGATATATTGTACTAAAACGATTGGGCAGGAAATCTCTGCAACAGTTAAGACACCAAAGTAAGATGAAACAGGAATACATTGAATTAGCTCGAAATATGATATGTGACACTATTGTCTATACAAGGATATGACAAACATCATTATACATTTGTGTTATGAATAAAAATGCTACTTTGTTATTACATAACATAATAACAAATATCTCCGTACAATATCATTGTTGTATATTTCTAGGATGTGATCCAGGATTTTACGGCCAGGATTGTTATCAGATATGTTCAACCAATTGCAAGAGCCAAATTTGTAATTGGAACACGAGCATGTGTACAGGTACGACAGCACTTACTGTATGTATAATGTCTTGTATTTCACCTTTTGTGATAGGCTACAACCTACTCTCAATGTCTGTTGCATGAATTATGCTATATCAATTTATATCAAATGTTAATTTTCCTCACGCAGGTATATTGAAACTATCATGCGATCACATTCCCGAATCCTCTGAGTATTTTGGGAACTTATTTGAACAGACATAGTGATATCTGATGGATATTCTAGATAAAGGCAACGCGTGATAAATTAATATATCATGATGATGGTTACTGATGTTGGGAGTGAACATATTAATCATTTTTATAGAGTGTGTTGCCGGTCTCTATGGATCCAACTGTACCCAGACCTGTCCTATGAATTGTCAAAACGAATGTGACAGATACACTGCAGTGTGCAAAGGTATGACTTTTTTGTTGTATTGTTACAACATCAAATGTCAAATCTTACCAAAATGCAGAATATGAATAGAATAATTTTGACCATGAATTTATTTTTAATTATTAAAGACTTAGTCCAGACTAGTTAATTTGTTAATACTTGTGCGTTGGTATGCAATATATGTAAATAAGATTGAAACTATCATAAAGGTAGGCAGTTACTCCTTCCTCAACGACTTCTAGCCTCTGATCGTAATCACTTAAATAATGCCAAGTACTCGAAAAGATTACAATGGCAGTAAAAAGGATACCACCGGGAATATAAAACTCCAAAATTAACTATCTTCTGATATTAATACACATTTTGCTCAAAAATAAATATTGAATTTGTAAGTTTATAGGTAGCAAAAGCAGGAGAGTTCTTATATATCATTATAAAGACATCATTAGGAAAGCTGAAATCATCACGGTTATCACAGAAATTTGCAGTATGTTGACCCTATTCGTAGCTTTGATATCTTTGTACGTGATTAAGATTATGATATGTATGTGTCATGTGCTATCTCCGTTGTAACATTACAAAATATCTAAAATATTACATATATTGTTGTATACCTTTACACCGCTCTACAGTGAAAAGCAACAAGAATTTTTTTCTTCCTGATGTATTCAAAAATTGTTGTGTACTCTTAGAATAATAAATGTTCGTCCATACACTGAAATTTAATAGTAATATTTTTATTCTGTTGAGCATATGACTATCATATCATAGTCTTGAATTTTGTGTGTGTAAGGAGGTGAAGACAGGAAAGTAAAATAACACGTGCGCGCCCTGTTAATGCCCTTTAGATTCAATATCTAGGTTTTAGAACATACCATGTATTTTCATTCTTTCTATCTTCAGATTGCAAAATTACAAAGTATGGACTAAAATGCGAACGGAACTGCTCGAGTCAATGTTACAACGGCAAATGTGAACAATTAAGTGGTCATTGTGAAGGTTGGTGTAGGCCTGTTATTTGATTGTTTTTATGCTTTAAATGTCATTCTTATGTGAATGTGGTAAAATATGCATTTTTGCTTTAGGAAGAAGTGTCAATTTTATAAATGCTCTTCTGAACTTGTATTTCAAATATTTATATAGACATAAATGTGATATCGTTAATATGTGAAAAATGTAAAGTTGAACAAGTGATTACAGGATGTATACTAGGAGTCCATGGAGATAATTGTTCAAAGCCCTGTCCGGAAAACTGTGAAAAAAACACGTGTCTACAGGACAATGGCCACTGTACAGGTAATTCCTTGAAGTTTATGTAGAGACTTTCTAAAGCCTGTTATTACAATTCTTGATGTTGGCATACACAATAATTAACAAACTACAGGTTTGAACATCTACAATCTAACCCCAATGGTTGTGTTTTCTATGGACAAGTACACCAAAATGAAGATGTTGTTTGTATGTTTTCTAATTCAAGGATGTAAAGCTGGATACTTCAATGATCACTGTGATAGAAGATGTCCGTCTACATGTAAAACAGACGTTTGTGACCATACTACAGGCAAATGTACGGGTAGGTGTTGATTGACCACATATGCAAGGAGACTATATTGATTGCACGTTTAACGAAACATACACTACTACATGTCCACGATAACAATATGTATTATTAAAAATGCAAGTAATTAAGAACACTATTGTTTATCATATCATTGTGAGACGAATGTTGAATAGATTCGGAAACGGAAAAGTGAGGAAACCTACCTTTGATATATTTCTAGATTACTGAGGTTTTACATCCATAGACATAATAATGATAATTGGAAATGTAACCGGTGATAATTTCTACAGTTTCTACAGAATTATGTTTAATGATAAACTAAGAGACTTTTTAATGGGAGACATGGCGTTGCATTATTGTAATCGGGGCTATAGAACGGAACTCGGATATGTATTACAACAAGATTGTTCAAAAGCCACACAAGTCGAGAACCCATGTAAAAACAAATCTAGAATAAGACAAGCTACAGTCAAATACTTTCTAGAATTGTCTATTGAGGTATCACTTTGTTTTAGTTTTGCTTGTTGAAGTGTCAACAACAGATCCGAAACTTGTCATAATTATACTAATGGGACTGATCATTGTGGCCTTGGTGGTGGTCATAGTAGTGTTGAAACATCGTCGTAAGAAGCAACACGACTCCACAAACGTGTACAGGCACGGCTTTAACCTAAATTCTGCTGCATTCGATCGCACTTTGTGAACTTATAGACAGGTAATAAATACATAAGCATCTCTATTCAATTTTCAACCATTTCAATATATCCAATAATAATATTTCTGATATTGATTTCACACTGTAAATAAAAATCACTTCAATTTGAAAAGAAGAACGTCATATTGTTTCATCAATTAACCAGTTCGAATACATGAATACATATTTTTTCATTAGATGGAAATATAAACTATGTTTTCTGTAATGGTTGAACATAAAATAAGAAGAAAATTCTCTTAATGAAATAACAATTTTGTAAGACATGTTTTCTTTGGAACTACAGGATAGCTGTCTATCATCTTCAGTAACACAATAAATTTCACAGTCAACGTCCATTTGCCCTGAGTGACTTTTGTTTTTAATTTCATTTTCGTTAATACAATATTGGCGATATAACTATCAGTATTACAATGCAGTTGTAGGTTACAGTCTATTGAATTTTACCACATTTAAGTTGTTTGATACTTTACATTCTAGATGCCTTATATGGTAATATGACAACCAATTCCATGACGTTGCCTATTACTATGGGAAGAATGTCAGCGATGGAACTGTTTGACTCCTTGAAGACGGAATCTACCACTATTTACGGCAATTTAGAGACATTTTTAATGATGACAACAAAAGAGCAGTGGACTTTTGAGACTGGCAGTTGATAAAATGAGGTGGTGATGATCATTTATGCCTCCGGTAAAAATGTTCAAGACAATTACGGAATTGCCTTTCTGCTTTGACAAAGAAAGGTTTTACTGAGATTATGTCATTCTGATTAAATTTAAACGATTGTACAAAATACACACAATTCAATAGCATATTTCAGTGCAAATTTAAACAAGGCACGATAGCGCTTAACAATGTGAATTCTACTGCATCCCACAGCTGTTTCGTCCTTATGAATGGGGTATGTGCACCAGCCCAATCATAAAGTACATTGCGTAATTTTCGTATATCTGATAATATTTGTAATTACGTGTATATTTTTACGTTTTCTTTTTTTAAGGTCTTTTCACCAATGGTCTTTTCACCATTGTTTTTGTTATGTTTCTTCTTCTTCTTCTTCTTCTTCTTCTTCTTCTTCTTCTTCTTCTTCTTCTTCTTATTATTATTATTATTATTATTTTTCTTCCGAACTTTGTGGGTTCGTAATCTTTTAAACGATAAAGACCACACCTAATATGTATTGACCATGTTATAGATACATACTGGAAGGTGACGATGCAGATTTTTTAAGAAGGTCAAAAATCCAATATGGCCGCTATGACGTCATAAGTTAAAAACTTTAAAACGACCGTAACTCGAAAACCGTGTACAGAGTTTGTTCAATTATGTTATTTGTAGACAATTTCCTTATCTAACTTTTCCCTATGCCATTATAATACAAAATATGTCTAATAAAAAAGCTCGCTGTGGGGTCAATATTTGAAAATTTGAAAACAAAATTTTTTTTTTTCAATTTTGATTTTTCTTGAAAATTTCTTTAACACATCGATGCAGAATATCCTTCCGATGAATTTAGTGATTTTAGTTCTTCTGTAACGTTTACCACTTCCGTTGTATGCCATTTTGAAAATTTCCTTTGATCTTTTAAAAATGCCGACAATTTGGAAAAACTCGATCTAGATCTTTACCAACGGGCTTTTTTTGAATAATTTATATCAGAAAGGTTTCCCTAGATGTCCTCTACCATTTAGTGTCATTTACAAAATCATCAGAAAAACATAATGGCCGCCATGACGTCATATCCGATTTTACCTAAATGGCTGTAACTCAATAACGGCTCAAGCTATTGACTTAAGCTTAAAGCAGTTTATAAACATAACCCTGCAAACATATTTCGTCAGAAAAATATTGAGATAAATGGTGAACTTCCGGTTTCTGGTAGGGGTCAAAGTTGAAAACTGCAATTTCGGGTTACTAACTTTGACGAACTTCTCCTCAAATTCTATAAGGTCTAGAGACTTGATATTTCATATTTAATATGTCCAGTCAACAGTCTATAAAGAGTCGTTATATGAATGACCTTGGTCAACTGTCAAGGTCACAGAGGTCAAATGTCTTAAAATCTTAAAATGACATTTTCTCTATAACCAATCAGTATTGAAACTTAATATTTTGTTTAAATCATTATATTATCAATTCCTAACAATAGACATCAGACAATATTGCAAAAATAGTCAACTTCCGGTTTCTGGTAGGGGTCAAATTTAAAAAGTGCTATTTCGGGTTACTAACTTTGACGAACTTCTCCTTAAATTCTATAAGGTCTAGAGACTTGATATTTCATATTTAATATGTCCAGTCAACAGTCTATAAAGAGTCGTTATATGAATGACCTTGGTCAACTGTCAAGGTCACAAGGGTCAAATGTCTTAAAAGCTTAAAATGAGATTTTCTATATAACCAATTAGTATTGAAACTTAATATTTGGTCTACATCATTATGTAATCAATTCCTAACAATAGACATCAGACAATATTGCCAAAAAAGTCAACTTCCGGTTTCTGATAGGGGTCAAATTTGAAAAGTGCTATTATGGGTTACTAACTTTGACGAACTTCTCCTCAAATTTTATCAGGTCTAGAGACTTGATATTTCATATTTAATATGTCCAGACAACAGGCTATAAAGGATCGTTATATGAATGACCTTGGTCAACTGTCAAGGTCACAGGGGTCAAATGTCTTAAAATCTTAAAATGACATTTTCTCTATAACCAATTAGTATTGAAACTTAATATTTTGTCTACATCATTATGTCATCAATTCCTAACAAAAGACATCAGACAATATTGCAAAAAAATTCAACTTCCGGTTTCCGGTAGGGTCAAATTTGAAAACTGCTATTTCGGGTCACTAACTTTGACGATGTTCTCCTCAAATTTTATCAGGTTTAGAGACTTGATTTTTCATATTTAATATGTCCAGTCAACAGGCTATAAAGAGTCGTTATATGAATGACCTTGGTCAACTGTCAAGGTCACAGGGGTCAAATGTCTTAAAAGCTTAAAATGACATTTTTTCTCTAACCAATTAGTATTGAAACTTAATATTTGGTCTACATCATTATGTAATCAATTCCTAACAATAGACATCAGACAATATTGCAAAACAAGTCAACTTCCGGTTTCCGGTAGGGGTCAAAGTTGAAAACTGTTATTTTAAGTTACAAACTTTGACAAACTTCTTCTCAAGTTCTGCAAAGCCTTGAGTCTTGATATTTCATGTGTAAGATGTCTGATCAATTATCTATCAAGTTTGTAAACATCAATGACCTTGACTCACTTTCAAGGTCACAGGGGTCAATTATGTAAAAATCGTTAAATGGTAATTTCTCCTTTGTTAATCTGCCCAAAGTCTTCAACTTTGGACATAAATATTCTGTGGACATTTCCTGTCGAATGATATAAGAGAAACGTGCCTCAAAATTCAACTTCCGGTTAGCGGTAGGGGGTCAAAGTTGAAAACTGCTATTAACGGTACCAATCTTTGAAAAACTTCTTCTCAAGTTCTGAAAGGCCTAGAGGCTTTATATTTCACGTATATGAAGCATATGTAACTGGCAACAAAGTTTGATAAAATAAATGACCTTCACCCACTTTCAAGGTCACAGAGGTCAAATAACAAAGAATAGTTAAAGGACAGTTTCTCACTTTATAGAAGGCACACAATTATGAAAATTGACTAAAAACCTTCTGTGGACACTTCCTATTGATTATTATAAGAAAAAATTCCTTAAAAGTTCAACTTCCGGTTTTCGGTAGGGCACAAACTTGGAAAGAGCTATTTACGGTACCAATCTTTGATAAACTTCTTCTCAAGTTCTGGAAGGCCTAGAGGCTTGATATTTCATATACAAGAAGGATATGTAACTGGAAACAAAGTTTGATAATATAAATGACCTTGACCCACTTTCAAGGTCACAGAGGTCAATTAACTAAAAGTCGTTAAATGACAGTTTCTCAATCAATTTCTAGAAGGCTTACAATGATGAAAATTGATTATAAACCTTCTGTGGACACTTCCTAGTGATTGTCATTAGGAAAACTTCAAGCAAAATGTCAACTTCCGGTTTCCGATAAGGGTCAAATTTCAAATATACAAAATAGGGTACCAGTATTCAACAATCTTCTTGTCAAGTTTCACAAGGTCTAGAGAACTAATATTGGGGATGTAATGATCATCAGATGTTACATTATAAGGCTTGCAAATATGAATAACCTTGACCGACATTCAAGGTCACAGGGGTCAAATATGTTTGAACCTTTGAAAAGTGTATTTCCTCGTTATTATGTAGTTATATCTCCTTAACGTTTCAAGATACAAATTTCATCTTTGGATATGTTGTAGATATTAATAAACAATGAATCTTTCTCATATATCGTTATCAGGATAAATGTCAACTTCCGGTCAACTTGTCGCCAAAGGAGTGAAAAGCCCGCCAAATTGTTAACAACAATTTCTAGGTTTTTTTTGTTTTTTTTTTCTTTGTTTTTTGTTTGTTTTTGTGAATTCCTTCTGTCAAGACTTGTGATTAGCTGACACCTTTAGTAGCTCTGCAGTCCGTCCGTCAGCTTTTCCTTCTAGTCATGAACGATTGAGCGGATTTTGACCAAATCTGGTCAAAAACATCTTTGTGGTGACTTAATCTTGCATCAACATCTGACCTTTATATGGTCTAAGACTTGGGGTCCAGGAAGGGACATTCAGCAAGAGTTCTTCACTAAGAATGTGTGATCCTGTCCGAAGTTGATCTAAAATATCCTCAGGTTAAAGAATTTCAGACCCCTAGGACAGGAGGTACGGTGTCCAATTGGAGAAACCGAGCAAATTATTATTTTTTTATTCTTTTCTTCTGAAAGAATCCTTGAATTCTCTCCCAATATGATCTAGATCATCTTTCGATGAAAGGAAATTAATTTGGCATAAACAGTGTATTTCGGTTACCTTGGCGGAAGGGGCGGGGCTCAATAGCAAGTTTCTAAAAACCCTTTCCACTATGGTTTGAAGCATCCTTGGGTTAAGTAAACTTTTGTTTAACATGTTAGGCTGATATCTCGGGAGCAAAAGGGGGCGGGCTAAATGGAGTATAAATATAAGCCTTTACAATTCATATTCCTTAGTTCGGTTAGTAATTGCAGACAAACAAAGCCCTGTGGGTCATTTGTCTTACATTTGAAATGTTTAAGTCTTGAATCGGTGGTAAGTCAAAAGGATTTTTTAACAGACTTTTAGAAGGACAGTCAATAACATAACGTGCATTCAAATGCATTTATTTATACACATTTGTGAGCACACTAATGTGGCTATGATAAGAACTTAGAGTTTCTAATTTTACTGTCTACGTAGTCTGACTAACTTTACTTATTTACGTGGTCTGACTAACTTTACTTATTTACGTGGTCTGACTAACTTTACTTTTGTACATGGTCTGACTAACTTTACTTATTTACGTGGTCTAACTAACTTTACTTATTTACGTGGTCTGACTAACTTTACTTATTTACGTGGTCTAACTAACTTTACTTTTGTACATGGTCTGACTAACTTTACTTATTTACGTGGTCTGATTGACTTTACTTATTAACGTGGTCTGACTAACTTTACTTTTGTACCCGGGCTGGCTAACTTTAGTTATTAACGTATCAATCTGTCCAAAT